GCAGGGTAAAACCTGGCAGAGGTTGGCGAGCACTGGCCCCCAGCCAGGCCATGCTGGAGCTCAGGGGGAGCTGGGCAGTCCCCCCATGCAGGCGGGCCCCCGGGGCTCGCTGTCCCCGTGTGTCCCCCTCAGCAGCTCCAGGGTTTCCCTGCCAGCCGGGATGCTGCCAGTTGTCTCTCTCCCCGGGAGAGCAGCAGCCATCAGCAGGGCACTCACTGTCCCTTCAGTGGAGCGTGTGGGAATTGCGGCCGCATCCTGCATCTCCCAGTGCCGCTTGTGTGGTGCACAATTAAAAACTGGGGTCATCATTACCACTCGGATGTGATGCCTTGAATGAAGCCTCTTGGTTGCTGGTCAGGGCTGCCCTGCACCCCGGGCTCCATCCTGCCCCTGATGGCCACAGGAGCACCATTTCTCTCTCTGGAAACCTACTTTTTCCAGAACTATTCTGCAAATCCTGGAGTTTTTGAGACAATGAAGGCTGGGAGCCCAAGGGGTCAGGGCAGTGACCTTCCCAGGGGTGTAAACTGATCATCCACTGGTCTAGGCAGTCCCTGGTGCCTTTCCTCCACCGCAGCTGGCCACTTTCCAGCCCTTCTTCATTTAAGATGGGATCTCAGGTGTGCTTTGGTTTCATCCCTCTCTTTAATTATTGATGCTTTTCTTTTGCCTGGAGCCCACTCTGCATCCCGCTGGTGTTGCCTGTGCCCCAGCTCACCATTGCCTGTGCTCTGTGCAGTTAAAACCCCCGTACCCACCACCACGGTCCCTTGGGCAGCAAACCTGGGGTTCCAGCAAGCCCCGACCCCCATCCTGAAGGGGGCTGTGGTTTCCAGCAGCTTTAAGCAGGGAGGCTCAGAGAGGCACTGCCGTGCCTTTGCCTTAAGCAACTTCCCCCACCCCAGCAACTGGCGCCCTGTCTCCCAGGCCACCCAATGCTTTGGTCATGTAAAGCACTAAATACAGCCTAATTATTATTATCTTCATGGGATCTGGTTAATCTCGATGGGGATTTACAAGCTGTTGGCAAATCAGCCGGTCGTCAAATGTTTGCATTTTTCTCAGAGGCAGCTTAATCCCATTGGCCACGTTTGCTGAGAAATGCCTGGGGCCAAGTCACACAGATAGGGATGCTGCTCCAGAGCCAATCCCTCTGGGAGGGAGCAGAAGTGGGGCAGCATAACTGAACAATCACAAGCCTGCAGGACCAAGGCACAAGTCACTTGTCACCAGCAGTGTGGATGCTGGTGCAAAGCTGTGAGGTGCCTCAGATGCAGCATCTTCACAGAGTCCCTGGGTTTTTAGTGTCCTGCAGCATGGCAGGTGTCAGTGCTGGTTTTGGTGGGGCTGCAGATGTCCCTTAAAGACAGGGACCAAGAGCTTGGAGAGGTTTGCCAGCGATGTTCCTGCTAGGTGGGGGTAGCTTTGCTTGCCTTCCAGGGGCAGGATGTCTTGCCCCCCAGCCCTGTCCCCATGCACATATAGGAGCTCACAGCTCCTGCTGCTGGAGGGATTCACGGCAGCGAGGGCACGATGGCACATGCTGGGCTGGCCATGGCACACTCTCTGTTCCAGCATACACATGGCTCCATGTGGCCCTGCCTGCTGGCCAAGCTGGGGGTTCTCCCACAGCTCAGCAAAATTCAGTTATCCCTTCGCTGGCTTTCTCCCATCCAAGGATGTCACCATGTAGTGATTTTCCACAGGGGTTCAGACTAAAGCACGGGGTGCTGGACTAGCAGAAAGAAAAGCCAGGAAGAGAAAATGTGAACTTCAAACTTCTCATCTTGGGTGTCTACTGAGGTTTGGCCAGCACCTCTCAGGGCTGGTGAAAGCTGAGGGCCAGCTCTGCCTGCAACCTTCCCTGTTCCTGCCTTCCCCCATCCCCAAGCCTTTCTGCCTGCTGTGAAAGGCAAAGCAGCATCTCAGAGAGCAGCTCCACAATCTTTTTGGCAGGGCTATTTTTACTGGAGATTGTTCCCTTATCTGCTTCCCAGTGTGATCCCACGAAGAGTGGAGCTGTCACATCTGTGAGAGCAGGATGGTGGGGTGAGCTGCTCAAACTGAGGCAGATGCCAGGAAGAATGGCTGCAGAGCCACAGCTGGGAGGAACCTGAGGGAGGGTGCTCAGACCCACCTGCAGAGCCATCAGATCCCTGTGGGATGGGGCAGTCCTGTGTTTGCTCAGTCTTGGAGAACCCCTAAGCCTCATACAGGTGAGATGGCACCAGCAGGTCCCCTCTGCTGATGCCTGCCTTGTGCCATGGTGATGCCCTTTGCCCACATGGACAGGTTACAGTGGAGGAACATGGGGTCTCTGGTCCAGCCTCCAATATAGAGCAGGCAGCCACCAACACAAGGAGCTTTGTACAGGAAAATCTTGAGCCCCCTCCGAGGATGCAGGCCCCATGGGAACTGTCCTAGGCTGCACTGCAGCCTCAGCAAAGGCCCTTTTCCTGGTGTCTACCTGAACATCTGCTTTTCCCAAGCATGTACATCTGTACCTAGGTAAACCCATACAAAAGGAGGGTACTGAGCTTTTGGAGGGTGTCCTGCTATGGTGGTTGCCCCAGGAGCGCACTGGCCAAAGCCTGTGCCTCTCCTGGGCACAAGTGCCACCTCTTTAGACAGGACCTCAGTGGCACTTAGCATCTGCAGTTGGCACTTGATGGCCAGTGTTGGCCTTCCACAGTCACCCTTGGCTTGAGTTTTGCACGTCCCCTCATCCAGAGCTTCCCAACCACCATGGTCTGGCAGGGTGAGCCATCACAAGTGCAGGCAATGTCCCTTCTGGGGAGTGTGTTAAGGGCCTGGACAGGGCAGACTGGGTTGTTCAAGTTGGGCTGAGCTTCTCTGGTTCCTGCAGGACCAAGCTGGGAGCTGGCACAATGGCACGGCAGAGAGGGACAGGCAGGAGCTGAGCTGAGCTCTGCCCTGGCACAGCCAGTTTGTCTCCTCTGCATCGCACCTCCCCCTCGCTGCTAGCATGGAGGTGGGGAGCTCTGATGAAGAAAAATGGGATTCCTGAAAGAAAAATGAAAGGCCACACGTTTCCATGAGGCAGGGATTCAATTTGTGTCACGCAATCACATTTCCTTCTGCAGTCTGAAATAATTACACAGCGGAGAGGGACGAGGAGATCTGATTCAGAGGCTCAGGGACAAGAGAAAGTTCTGAAATAAAAGAAGACAAATTAAATCATTAAGATATAATAGGCTGCACTTGCCCCTTAATTAGACTTTCTCTTTGATTAAGCAGTAATTAAATATTACCATGCTGAAAGGGATTCTTTTATGGCCCTCTGAAGCCCTAAAGTATTCTGAAGATGTTTCTGTGCAGAGCAGGGGTTGCTGCCAGTGGTGAGGTGGGGGGGAGTGTGTTGTACACCTGCCGGTTCCCCACAGGAGAAGCCCCTCTGCTCCCTGGGGAGTTTGGGCAGGATGGTTGCTTCTGGTCCAGGGTGCAGCCTGAGCCAAGAAGTGTCCCTGGGGAAGTCCCACAGCTCCTGGCCACCATCAGCTGCAAAGCATTTCCAGCTTCTCACCAGAAATGTGAGTGTGAGCTCCTGGGTGTTGGATGCAGGTGCCAAACATGTTATCCTGCTGCTGCCTCTTAGGTGCAGTTTTTAGGGTCATGGAATAGAATCACAGAATCATTTTGGTTGGAAAAGACCTTTAAGATCATTGAGTCCAACTGTTAACCTAGCACTGCCAAGGCCATCACTAAACCATGTCCCTGAGCACCACATTACATGTCTTCTAAATTCCTCCAGGGATGGTGGCTCAACCACCTCCCTAGACAGCCTGTTTCAGAGCCTGACAATCCTTTCAGTGAAGAAATTTTTCCTAATAACCAATCTAAACCTCCCCTGGTGCAACTTGAGTCTATTTCCTTGAGACCATTTTGGTGAACCTCATCTTCTACATGGAGACCATAACCTCTGTGGCCCCAGGAGATGCTGTTGGCTTGCAACCTTGGTCCCAGGCTGGTCCAGCTGAAGACCAAGACCATCTCTCCAACAGCATGGCAGCTCTCCTGGGGCCAGCCACCCCCTGAGTCTGGCCACCTCGAGCTTTGGGAGCAACAGATCAACAAAAGAGGACTCTGGGGTAAAGGACTTGGAGTCTATCAGGCTGTTTGCAGCAAAACCAAAAAGTTTTTAAATGATGAAACATCAAAAGGGAGGAAATGTCAGGTCCCTATTCCTGGACATTCATGGGTGGGTAAAAATAGCCCTTGGATGACCTGAGTGGGGAAAGTGCTTCTGATCCCTTAATGCAGAGCCCCTGCTGTAGTTCCATGGGCTCTGCCACTCATGGCCCTGTGTGCAACCTGCTTTTTCCAGGTCATGAAACGATGGCTCTTGCTGAGAATTTCACTAGATGAGATTGTCTTGTTCTCTTCCTGCACAGCGTGTACTTTGGGTAATATCTTTGGGAGATTTTTGTGTACTTGTGTACCCAGTATTTTCTGATAACCTAGGAAAAAAAGACCCATAAGTATTATGATTATGCTGTTAAACCTTTATTGTATCAAAACAAATCAGAGTGAGAGAGAAGCTGCATGGAGCACCAGAAGTGTTAAGCCATGGTAGTGATCTGCCCTCAGTGTTTAATTTCACTTAATTTTCCCTTGAAATATCAGTGAGACTGGAGATGAAAAGAGCTGGTAATGCTGAGGTGTCATGGGGGAGAGTGTGAAATCCCCTTGCTGTAGCCATGGTCCCTCTGGCTGAACATCACTGAGGTCTGGACAAGGCTAGGGGTGGGTATAAGCTGGATGGTTGGTCTCTTCTTCTAGATGGCTTGTAGGGTGCAGTTCCAACGCCGCACCCTGGCCTGCTCAGCGCCTGTCCTCTCCTAAGCTGGTTATTTGATTCGGGTGGGCTGAGTCCTTCGTACCATCACCATGAGTCCCATCAGCTGAACTTCTCGGAGAGTTCCCTGCTGGGGCGAAGCTCCGGGAGTTCGAATAGAACTTCTCCTTTCTCTGTTTTGCAGAAAAACGAATGGCTGTGCTTGAACTGCCAAACTCAGCGGCTGCTCGAAGGCAGCCTCGGTGACCCTGCCCCGATGCCGCTGCC